GGGGAATAGATGTTTAGAATTAAGACTTCTTCCTGATGGATTTTTCCTGTGATGAATATGAAATGATCTTCTTCATCTCTTTTGATTGATTTTAGTTTGAAGTCTAGTTTGTTAGATACTAGGATAGCTACCCCAACTTGTTTCTTGGGATTCATTTGATTGGAATGTCTTATCCCAACCCTTTACTCTGAGGTAATGTCTCTCTTTGAAGTTTCTTGTATGCAGCGGAAGAATGGATTCTGTCTTCGAATCCACTCTGTTAGCCTGTGCCTTTTTACAGACAAGTTAAGACCATTAATATTGAGGGAAATTAAAGACCATTGAGTGCTTATTCTTGTTTGTTTTTGATTTGTTGTTGGTAGTGGTATTGTATGTGGATTTACCCATACTTTTTCTTTTGGGTTTTCGTAAACTGGGATTATCTATTGCCTATGTTTTTGTGAGTGTAGTTAATTTCCTTAGGTTGGAGTTTTCCTTCCAGTACTTTCTGTAGGGCTGTATTAGTGGTTACATATTGTTTAAATCTGGTTTTGTCGTGGAATATCTTGTTTTCTCCCTTTATTGTGATTGAAAGCTTTGCTGAGCATAGTAGTCTGGGCTGGCATTCGTGGTCTCTTAGTGTAGGTAGAATATCTATACAGGTCCTTCTGGCTTTCAGAGTTTCCATGGAAAAGTCCAGTGTAATTCTGACAGGTTTGCCTTTATATGTTACTTTGTCCTTTGTCCTTTGCTGCTCTTAATATTCTTTCTTTATTCCATATGTTTGCTGTTTTAATTGTTATGTGCAGAGGGGGCTTTCTTTTGTGGTGTCTTCACTCTATTTGGTGTTCTGTAGGCTTCTAGTACTTTCATTGGCATGTCTTTATTTAGGTTGGGAAAGTTTTCTTCTATGATTTCATTGAATATGTTTTCTGCACCTTTGAGTTGGGTTTCTTCACCTTCTATGCCTATTATCCTTAGGTTTGGTCTTTCCATGGTGTCCCATATTTCCTGGATATTTTGTGTTAAGGATTTGTTGGACTTATGATTTTCTTTGCTTGATGAATTTATTTCCTCTAGTTTATCTTCAGCAACTGAGATTCTGTCTTCCATCTCTTGCATTCTATTGGTTATGCTTGCATCTGTGGTTCCTGATTGTTTACTCAGCTTTTCCACTTCCAGCATGTCCTCAGTTTATGTTTTCTTTATTGTCTCTGTTTCAGTTTTCAGGTCTTGACCTGTTTCCTTCAGCTGTTTAATTGTATTTACTTGGCTTTCCTTGACTTCTTGCATGTCTTTTCTTCCATTTCTCTGAAGGATTTTCTGATTTACTCTCTCAGGGTCTCTATCATCTGCATGAAGTTGTTTTTAAGGTTGCTCTCTTCTGCTTCATCTGTGTTGGGATGTTCAGGTCTTGCTGGTGTAGAGTCCCTTGTCTCTGGCAGTGTCATATTGGTTTTCCTGTTGTTGGATATGTTCTTATATTGTCGTCCTCCCATCTCTTCTTCCAGTGGGTGCAGGTGATGTCTCTTCCTTTCCTGGTGTGTATGGGTCCAAGGTTCTCTTCCAGTAGGTGCAATTAGCTCCAATACCCTGATGGGTCTCAAGGTGGGTGCAGGTGGGTTCTAGGCACTTGCTCTCCAGAAGGGTGAGAGCCGGACTAGTGCAGAGATGTCAGCAGAGTCAGTGTTGCTTGATTCTCAGGGGCCAAGTTGATCTGCCTACAGGCCCCAGGCTGGGAGTTCCCAGAGTGGGCAGGTGGAAGTTGGGCCCAAGGCAGCTCACCTCTGCCATACCTCTGCCCTGTGTGGGGGCAGGAGTAACCCAGTGATCTCAGCAGAGTCAGGGTCGCTTGGTCCTCAGGGCTTGATAAATATTCTTATAGCCTGTTAGGCATGAGTACTTCATTAGCTGTATAGAGCCCCTTATTCCCCTTCACTCTGCAACATGCTTTCCTGAAAAGGAGTGTCAGTGGACAAATGCCTATTTGATACCTATATTATAGTCTTAAAGTTAAGAAAGGTATGGATTTTTTTTTTAGACAGAAGTCTCACTATGTTGCTCTGGCTGTACTAAAACTCACTCTGTAGAGTAGGCTGACCTTAAACTCACAGAGATCTGCCTGCTATTCCTCCCAAGCCTTGGGATTAAAGGCATTAACTACCATATCTGGCTGGCATCGAATTTTTAAAAATTAGATTGCTTGCCAAATCCAATCTAAGAAATTGTTGCTAAATAGACACTTACATCATACATTTGTATTGACTACTTATTGCATACATCATATTTTCAGCCCATATCTGTTCAATGAGTAGTAAATCCAGGCAATTTGCAAAGCTTTTCTTCATAATTGTACAGCTGCACTTAGCTGAAATTCTTGTCTTCACACTGCCGTTAACAATAAGGTTTTATTCTACTTATGCCTGTTATTCTATATGCCAGCTGCTTCTATGTATACTACCTCATTTAATTTTCAGTAGGGATTCTTGGGATTAAGAATTGCTTTCTCAATTGCTCAAGTGTCCTTACCAACACAAAGTCAACACATTTCTGACTTGCAGTTGAAGCCTGGTCAGACTCTTAGCACAATAATCAAGAAAATGAATTAAAATAAACCTTAGATTCCTGGCTGAGAGCTCAGGCTCTGAAGACTGGCTGTCTGGATCCAAATCCCTTGCCATTGTGTGATTTGGAGCAGACCTTTGATCTCTTTTATCTTAGTTTCCTCAGCTGAAAAGGGGGTGAGGTGACAGTGGTGGTGATGAGAGCACTTGTCCCAGATTGGGCAGTGGAAGCATTCTAGGGTGGAGTCCAGGGCACACATGTTTGTCAGAGTCAGCCCTTCGGAGCTACACAGGGGGCTCTGTGAAGGAAGCAGAGAAATTAGCAGCCAAACCATGTTCCCACAGCTAAAGCCAACCCTGTCAGGAGACCATTGCTCCTCATGGGGGACAATACCCAAGTTGCATAACACTCTTGAGCTTTCCACAAGTGTGGTGCTGCATATAGAACCAGACTTTTTATTAATTTATTAATTATTAATTTATTTATTATAATGAACATCTGATTAGTCACTCTGGTTACTTTTCAGTTTTCTTTTAAAATATTTTATCTCTCCCTACCCTGACATTCTATAACACTGCCCATTACTTCTAGTTTAGGCAAAGTGTGCCACCCTGGATTACATTATCTCCAGGTTCAGCAATCATGGTGTGTGTGTGTGTGTGTGTGTGTGTGTTGCTAAACTTTAGCATACTGTCCCCTTTTTGCCTCAACCTTCCCGGATGTTTTATGGTTAACAGGAAGGAAGACACTGTCCTGATCTTCCACACCAAATGCCTGGAAGCAACAGAAAGACTTTACCCTTCAGTGACATCCAACCACATAGCCTACATAAGTGGTAGACTTCTCAAGTTCTTCTTAACAATTGCCTTAGTACTGGGATTCTATTGGATATCTGTAAAACTTTTAGTTCATATAATTTTGTATCATTAAACAAAGTTGTATTCATATGTACAACTAGGAAATTAAAATTCTACCAAGCTACATTTTCCAACAACATCTAGATGAATAGTGAAGCATATGCTTTTTAATTGGCTCATGGCGTCACAAAGCTTCAGTTTGCTGACAATTTAAGATTATTTAAGTTCTGTGAATTATTTATTATCTCATCTGCTGTTTACATAGGCCTTTTTGCTTTTTCTATACATTTGAATAGAAACCTAAAAGTTTCCTCCCTTTTGGCTACATATGGTATTTTAAAAATTAAAACAATGAGTGAATAATATATTGACAAGAGAGGGATCAAAACAGTCTCCTGGAAACTCCTCTCACCAGATGTGCACTTCAGACAGGTGTAGAAAAGCTGGTGTGAATATAACACATCTCAGGCCCAGACACACATTTTCCTAGAATTTGTATTTGTCCTTATCCAAATCTGCCTAGAGTTTTTCTTTGTGTATCTCAGGTAATGAATACATTAAAAAAAAAACAACATGCAGTCTGTGAAACCCAAGGATCTAAAAAGCAAGTGTTCTTTACTTATCTATAATCAACTTCATTCCTAGATATGTTTCTTTCAAGGCAATGGGCAAATATTTGCTCTCCAGAGTGACTCCATCAGTTTGACAATGTATTTGGTGGAATTTCAGCTAAACATAAGAATCTTTCTCATGACAGCACCTGTGTGCTTACATAGCATGTATGAGGCAAGGACAGTGGTTTGTGGTTTGTGGGGAAGTATGTTGGTTATCTAGTACTCTTTGTAGAGAAGAGGAAACTCAGAGTAGGAATTCAAGTAGGAGCAAAGGCAAGTACTGTGGAGAAATGATACTTATTGGCTTGCTCTCCATGGCTTGCTAAGCCAGCTTTCTTATGTAACTGAGGAACACCACAGTGGGTTGGACCCTCATATATCAATGATTAATTAAGAAAATACCTCTATAAGCATGCTCATAGGCCAATCTGATGTAAGTAGTTCCTCAGGTAAGATCCCCCTATTCCCTCGTGATTCGCTTATGGCAAGTGGACAAAAAAAGCTAACTAGTGCAATTGTTCTTCTATAGAAGCTAAAGCCCAGTATGCATTTATTTCAAAACATTAGAGATACTTTCCATCAACAACTGAACAGTTAAGCAAACTGTCATGTATACATACAATGGAATAGTCAATCACAAGAAAAGAAATTCTGATATGTATATAACATATGTGAATCTTGAAAAAATAGTATGTTAGTTGAAATAAGGCCAACACTAAAAGAAAATATTGTATGATCTCATATGAAGTATCTAGAACGGGCAGGTGCATAGCAAAAGAAAATAGAGCAGAGGTTACCAGAATCCCAGTGTAAGGAGAAGTGTGAATTATTCCTCACAAAGTACAAAGTTTTATTTTTGTGTGGGATGAAGACAAGGTAGGTGACAGCTGTATCATCCAGTTCAGTGGTAAGTGTGCTAGAGGCCTCCCAGTTGTGCACCTAGAATGGTGCAATGGGAACATTTATTTCTTTTTGTTTCTCTATTCTAAATATGGAGCACTCCACAGATTTGCCTGTCACCCTTGTGCAGGGGCCATACTAAACTCAGTATTGCTACAGTTTTACTCTGTGTGCTCAGAAGTGAGCATGGTAAAACTTGATTTTATATGCAAACAGAGTTTTTAAAGGAGAGGACATGCTTGGATCACTTTCCTGTATCTAACAGTCAGTCTGACAAATATTTGCTGAGTCACTGCTAGGCACCAGAACTGTGGTAGACCTAAAAGCACAAGCAGGCTTAAGACAGGCAGCCCTGCCTGCCCTGAAGTCAAAATCTCACTTAAAGGTTCCGTGTAGATGCATCCACCCCTCTGTTAGATTATTTCAGCGAATATTTCCCAGAACTTTAGAAGAGATAAGAATAAATGAACCATAGTTCTTATACTCCACACTAAAGCACTAGACCACACGACCTTGTGCTGTTTTTAAATGACTAATAAATACCAACTAGTAATGGAGCCTTGAAAATTGAAATAAGAGGTCATTACTGGTGGAGGACCCATAGGAGATGGGACTTTAAAGAAAGGAGAGGCCACAGCAGAGAATGGTGAAAGACAGGAAGCTCGGGAAACCAGAAGCATACTTGAGCACATCTGGACTTGGTAGCTGCGTGTGATTTTTACAGTTGACTCACTTAGGGTTTCAGTGTGTGGTGAAAAATCTACACATTCCACCGAAACGCTCATTTATAGTCTCTTTTTCAATGGTCCTATGCATTTTAGTGTTACTTTGTATTCTTATCCTGATACTTTGTGTTTTCCTTCTCTTTTCACTTATAATTATTACATAAATTCCCCTAATCTCTATCCTTCCAGGAAAACAAAGTCAAAGCCCCCAATCTGACGACGAAAAAGCACTTCAGAGCTTCTCTAACTCAAGCCACTTTGCTGAACCCCACAGGGCCTCTATGTTTAGTTCCACAGCCAACAGCAGCCAACCACAAGGTGGAGCCCTTTGTCAGCCAGCAGTGCTCAGGCTTGTTTTCAGCTGGGTGCTTCCAGCCAGGTTCTCCTCGGGACAGAAAGCCCTCCTGGCCTCTCAAGGCACCACAGCTACTTGTGGGGGAGTCAAAGCTCAGCAGAGAAAATACACAAGTTCAACGCAGTCATCCTTGCTCACAAAGTCAGAGAGCCCCGGCATTTATACCAGTCTTCAGAAGGAAATCTGAGCAAGCAAACAAAGACATCTCAGCGCTTCGCAACATGGGAAGAAAACAGAGCACTGTTACAGAACCTACCCTACTGACACAGAAAACTAGAGTAACCCAGGGAGGCAAACCAAGTTTAGGTTCAGCTACTAGAAAAAGACCAGACAGTAACATTCAGGTACAGGCTAGGAATTTAAATCGGAAGAGCTTCAAACCTCCGCTAGGGAGAATCACTGATACCTATGAGCGCCAGAAGGAACATCTCTCTTCTGATGTTAAACTGACAGTGCACCTCAGTGAAAGTAGACCACTGCCTACTACTGCCATGACACAAATGTCAAGTAACAATGTAAGCTCGATAAGAAATGCTGTTGACAGCCACACCAACGGAAAAGACAATTTAACAAGCAGCTTTATAACACAGATTTTAGGGAAAAGCCATGAGTCCCTAAAACTCAAAAGCCAGCCACACATTTTTGAATCAGACTTAGGAACTGAAGACTCCCAAGTACACCAGCAACAATTGGCAAATCTAACTAGAGAAGCAGATGGAGCTGAACATGGCCTGATATCGAGCAAAGCATCCCAGAAGAACAGACGGAAGTTATGCCTCGAGTCTTCAAAATCTTCTACAAAGCATCGTTCTAATGCTGTGAATCTGAGGCAACCTGGTTCTTCTAAGAAACAGGTGAAGATCTGAGTTTTCTTCCAATCTGGAAAAATTCATAATAGGTTAGACCCTTAAATAAGAATGGAAATAACTTGCCCAAGTTGATGTAGAAATTTGGTAATTAAGAATGACCACTCTGTTCCACCTTAAAAAGGACATCTGTCGGGGCACTATCTATGGTGCACACACACCCTTAATCCCAGCACTTGGGAGGCAGAGGCAGGCAGATCTCTGTAAGTTTGAGGCCAGCCTGGTCTACAAGAGCTAGTTCCTGGATAGCCAGGGCTACACAGAGAAACCCTGTCTCAAAAAAACAACAAGTAACAACAACAAAAAAGACAGAAGGGATGACAGAGCTGGAGGATGGGCGGGGGTGGGGGGGTATGCAACAGTGTCCCTTGTACCGATGGATTCACTGTAGCTATGGTTTCCCTGCAAAAGACCTGCAGAAGATTGGGCCCACCAACATGTCATTGGATGGGAAAGGGGCTCATGAGTTCCCACCCACTCTGAGAAAATATGAGCTGTTAAGGGTGCTAGGGGGACGGTATCATTTTCTTCGGTGGTGTAGTCACTGACATGTTGGTCATGCTCCAGCAAATAATTTCCCACCATGCTCATGCAAGTAACCAAAATTAAACGCAGTTGGTCAGCAAAATAAAGACATCAGAATAGGAGAAAGACTTGTTTTAAAGGACTTTGGTAGAAGAGGGAGAAGGGCTTGGGGAGGTACTAGGAATGAAAATGACCAAAATTCACTATATACATGCAAGAAATTTTCAAAGAATTTTAAAAAGACTAACTTGCTTAAGAATCAAAACTGTTAGTAAAATGGTTAATTTGTAACAAAATGTTGTTCTTCAATTTGATACAGGCATCCAATACAATAAAACCTAAGAATTCCCTCAGCATTCCTGGGGCTGAGTACAGTGTGGAACAGAGACTGCCCACCATGTAACTGCAATGGTATGTCCTCCTTTCACTTAAATTACTTATATAGAGATGGCTACACTTAAATTAGCAAGAAAATAGGAACAGCTTACCCTGTGAATAGACAACTGTTTTCCATTGTGTAGACCCAAAGAAGAATAGCTTTCAGAAAGGACCCCACAGACTCCCTTCTCTTTACTCCTGGGGTCTCACTGACCAGGAAGCCAGAGCCAGCATTGCAGCCACAGCAGCTGCCTGAATATGCAAGCCTATGACCCTACTAAAATGTTCTTCTGCTTGGTCATGACCCAAATATCAGACCTCAAGTGAAGTCCCAGCGCTAATAATTAAGTTGCAATCTACTCCCAAAGTGCTACAGTGCCAGCTATGCTTAAACTTGAGATTTAATTATTATTCTGGGTCCTTGGATCCAAATCCACAAAACTGTACATCTGGAAATAACATTTTATTCCTTGTTGCCATCTGTTCTATTCTAAGAGCAAACATTAGTAAAACATGCACAAATATTCTTCACATAAAATTGTTGGCATACATTCTGATTCTTTAAGAATAAACTAGAAAACATTTTTTTCCAAATGCTATTTCTTTCTATAGCTAATAGAATCTTCAACCTGATTTGAGTTAACTGAAAGGTGCCTAAGTCTATTCCTATAAATGTTATGATGTGGTATCTTATATAGTTTTAAACATCTTCATTTTAATGCTCTCATGTGTCTGAGGAACATATTGTATGTGCCTTGAAAATGGCTATTTGCATTTTTAGAGATAAGAGAAATCTGTTCAAGGTTTCATCTTCTCAGAAGTATGGTCCCTTTCTCATTTTGAATTACTTAATGCCTGTAATAATGTTAACATGAAACCATTCTATTAGGAAGAATATCACAATGAGAAAATTGTAGTTTCTATAGTGATCCCCCAGCTATAAAATTAGTACATACTTCTATTGAAATTTTTTAGTAATATGGAGTAGTTCAATAAATGAGTTTTTGAAAATTGTAGACTAGAGAGATGGCTTAGCCATTAAGAGTACTGACTCCTCTTCCAGAAGACTTGGGTTCAATTCCCAGGACCAACATGGTTGTTCACAACAATATATAACTCCAGTTCCAGGGGATATAATGCCATCTTCTGGACTCTGTGGATATCAGGCTTGCATATGATACATAGTCATATATACAGGAAACATCCATATACATAAAATAATGAATTTCTAAAGAGTAAAATTCTACCTACAACTGCTCTTTTCAGGTATGATCACTCAGAACACTAATGAAGTTCTTCCAGACATTGCCTGAAGGCAAGAAGAAGACTGTGTGTGCTGCCCTGGGACTTCTTGCTTTACTCCACTCTCTTCTTTCTCATTTTTGCATAGTATTTTATTGGATGTGGTATGCCATATTTGACTAGCTTTCTATTGATCAATACCTAAGTTGTTTACAACCTTTCAGTATTATAAGTCATGTAAATTGTTGTATACAGAATATTGTAAGTTACCAAATTTTCTTATATGGGACACTATTTTTTTCTTTTTTTAAAAAAGATTTTATTTATTTATTATGTATACAACATTCTGCTTCCATGTATATCTGCACACCAGAAGAGGGCACCAGTACTCATAACGGATGGTTGTGAGCCACCATGTGGTTGCTGGGAATTGAACTCAGGACCTCTGGAAGAGCAGTCAGTGCTCTTAACATCTGAGCTATCTCTCCAACCCCCCACTTTTTTTCAAAGACAGAGTTTCACTCTGTAGCTCCAGATATCCTAGAATTTTCTATGTAGACCAGGCTGGTCTCAAAATCACAGAGATCTGCCTGCCTCTGTCTCCCAGGTGCCACCTCATCCAATGTAGTACTTTTGATAGTTGAAAATACCTTTATTTTGCCTTTACTATTTTTATTACTGAAATTTGTTTGAAGTGATTCTGTCTTATTGTCAAAGGGTGGGAGCTTCACAGATACAGTAGTACAAAGACAACAAAAAGCAGCATGAAGAAACTCTAAGTGCCTGTCACCCAGATCATTTGGCATTGTTTCCTTTGTTCCTCCCAGACACTCTCTACTGTAACATTTTAAAGCAAATTCAATGAATTACGTAATTTCACTCATGAACATTCTGGAATATAATAAGGTATAGAGGACTTTAAAGAAAGAATGTGTGTATTTATACTGTACAATTTGAGAGTACCCCTTATGTTTGTCTCCAAAGTGACCATATGACGAAGTTATGCTAGAAAGAAGACTGCTTTGTAATCACCATATTTCTTCACAATCTTGGGCAAATGGTTTTAATGTTTATTTAGGGGGCTCATGATGTGCTATATTGCCACTAAATTTTACTTTTGTTTTTATATGTGACCATCAGGAAGCCACCAGAGACATGAGTTCAATTTTACTACAGAATTAGAGCCTTTATTGTAGTGGAAATTTCTATGCCCATCAGTACATTGGTCCTGCTAGATGTCAGGTAGTGAGCCATGTTCTGTGTCCACCTCAGAAAAGGATGGACTTGCCCCGAAGGCTGAGTCTAGTCTTTAGCAAACTCATGTGGGCCCATGGCTCAGGCTTAGGGTTATATATGTGATGAACCAAGCGTCCAGAACCACCTGTTTGTCCTCCACCAACAACTCTGGCATTTAGAGGAAGGAAGCAAGAGTCACAACTCTGGCATTTAGAGGAATGGAAGTGAGAGTCACAACTCTAGCATTTAGAGGAATGGAAGTGAGAGTCACAACTCTGGCATTTAGAGGAATGGAAGTGAGAGTCACAACTCTAGCATTTAGAGGAATGGAAGTGAGAGTCACAACTCTAGCATTTAGAGGAATGGAAGTGAGAGTCACAACTCTAGCATTTAGAGGAATGGAAGTGAGAGTCACAACTCTAGCATTTAGAGGAATGGAAGTGAGAGTCACAACTCTAGCATTTAGAGGAATGGAAGTGAGAGTCACAACTCTAGCATTTAGAGGAATGGAAGTGAGAGTCACAACTCTGGCATTTAGAGGAATGGAAGTGAGAATCACAACTCTGGCATTTAAAGGAATGAATGTGAGAGTCACAAGTAGTGCTTCTCACTGATTGAGAATCTTCCCCACTTTCCAAACATTTAGGCTTCAGATGGATTTGATGACATATAATTGGCATATGTTTCTAAAAGTCAAAACTCTTCATTGAATAGCCTACTACAATAATCCTTCATCATATAAAAAGAACCAGCAGGGAATCAAATGTAAGTTGAACTATGATTGTTTAAATATGGTTTGCTGTTGCTCCCAATTTATCACAGCACCGCAGTTAAACAAAAGTAAGTGCTAACCTCCTCCATTTATGAGTGTGACTCCCACTCCCTGAGTTGTGCCTAGTAATTAACTTGATCCATACCTTTACTGTGAGCCCTTCTACTTTCCAGAACTATCTCTAGTTCCTAACTTATTGTCTTCATAGGGAGAATGGACATTTAACTCAAAGCCTATTTTAAGTGCTCGTTTCTCATGCAGCCCACGTTGTAAACAGCCAGCTGACTCAACCACAGTAAAGAGCAGGATTTGTGTAGAAATGCATTTGTTTTTGAGAGTGACGTACTGAAATATGCATGTGTGGGCATCACAGTCATCTGCATGTGGTCATTCTTGGACCATCCTTCCCTGGTGGGCTGCTCCATCATTATGCCTTAGGCAGTGAAGATGTCATATTACTCAACTCACAAACTAGTTAAAAGATGTGTCTACTGCAGAAGCAGTGTATAGTGTTTCCCATTTCTTTACAGAATCTTGATCATTCCTCTTCCTCGACTTTATTAATCTGTACCACTTAGAACTGACAACATAGTATTTCTTTCTTTTTTTCTTTTGAGACAGGGCCTTGAACTCATTACATAGGCTAGAATGACTTTGAACTGCTGCTCTTCCCACCTCTGCTTCCCGAGTGCTAGATCATAGCATGCTCAGTTTATGCCATACTGGAGATGGAATCCAGGGCTTTGTGCATGTGAGGCAAGCACTCTACCAAGTGAGCTCTATCCCAAGCACTAGTATTTCATTTTAGACAAGTGTGCACATACTTGCAAGGCTTGCTATGCTAAAAACAATCTCTATGAGTCTGTTTCTTTGTATAAAGCACATGTTTGTCTTGAAATATTTATTCTAATGAAACACACACATACACACAAAATTTCTGTGCTCAAATTCACCCGAGAAATCCATGAAGATCCTGGTTCATATTAAAGATTTCAATTTCTGGGGGGGGGGGGGCTGGAGATAGCAGTTAAGAGCATTTGCCCCTCTTGTCAAGGATGCATGTTTTTCCCAGCACCATAAAGCTGCTCACAACCATCTGTAACTCGAGTTCCAAAGGGATCTGATGTCCTCTTCCAGTCTCTCAAGCACCAGGCACACACATGATACACATACATATGGGCAAAATACTCATAAACATAAAATAAAAAATATTTTTTAAAAGACTTCAATTTCTGAGAGCCAAAATAATTGCATAACCAATTGAGAAAAAAAATTTTACTTTTTAAAGGTTTAGGTGCTTTGTTTGCAATATGGGCTCCTTCCAAAAATTCTTTTCTTACTTTTCAATTCTGCATTATAGGACCATTCCAGGTTTAAACCATAAATGGTTTTATATTTGCCTTTATACAAAGGCTTTGAAATTAACCACTACACCAAAACAAACTTATGGAAATAGGCCAAAATTAATGCCAAGAATCATATTTAAAGTTATGAAGTAATGTTTCTCATGTATATTTGTATTTGGTTTTATATTTTTTATTATGTTATAATGATTTTTACTTTGTGTTTATTACTCATTGTCACAAATATGATAAAAATTTTTAGTATCTCAGTGGTTGACTTTTATTTGACTAGTTTACCAACCAGTTTTCACTCTGTTTTCAAGTTCCATATAATCTGCTTTTATGCTGGATTTGCTAATATATGAGTATTTGTTGATAGTTATAAATAATCAATAAAAAGATTTAAAGATGCATGCCCCTTATGTATTTATG